CATCCATCCATCCATCCATCCATCCATCCATCCATCCATCCATCCATCCATCCATCCATCCATCCATCCTCTTCTTTAGCCGGAGTCGGGTCGCAGGAGCAGCAGCTAGAGCATGGAGGCTCAGGCCTTTCTTTCCGCAACCACCTCTTCCAGCTCTTCTGGGAGGACTCCCAGGCATTCCCAGGCCAACCGAGAGACATAATCTCTCAGTCCTAGGTCTTCCCCCCGGTTGGTCAGCCTGGCCTGAAGTACCTTACAGATACCTAAACCACCTCACCTGGCTCCTCTCAGTGTGGAGGTGCAGTTACCCTGCAGAGAAAACATTTCAACCGCCTGTTTTCGCAACCTAGTTTTTTTGGTCACTACCCAAATTTCTTGGACGAGGTGAGGGTAGGAACCAATCTATAAACTGAGACCAGTACAGAATAATAATAACAACAACAACAATAATAATAATAATAATAATAATAATGATAATGATAATGATGTATTATTCTTAAATAGTGCTTTTCAAGACCCTCAATGATCATTGTTCATTCACAAACTGGTGATGGTAAACTACAGTACAGCCACGTCAGACTGACAGGGCTGCCATACTCTGACCACCATCAGTAGGCAATCAAAGTTGAAGTGTCTGGAACAGGGGAGTTAAACCGGCACCCCTCCGGTTACAGGACGACTCCTCTAACCACTCCGCCACAGCCGGCCCAGAATCCACAATACTGCAGAAGATGCACCGATCTATCTGTCACTCCCGCTCCATTCTTCCCTCACTCGTGAACAAAACCCCAAGATACTAAAACTCCTCCACTTGAGGCAGAACCTCACCCCCAACCCAGAGAGRGCTGAAGATCAYGRCAYRACACCAATGGAACCAYATCCTCTGCAAATAGCAGAGATAGAAACCCAAGGCCACCAAACCGGACTCGTTTTGCCCCCCAGCTGCACCCAGAAATTCTGTCCGTAAAACATGAACAGAACTGGTGACAATGGGCAAGGGGATTGTGGGTCCATTRTTAYGAGTGGCGAGAGAGTTTGGTTCACATTGCCCTTCAGGGTGGGAGTTGGGACTTTGTATTACTTTCAGCAATATTAAAGAAACATTTCTTTTTTATTATGGAGCAACTTATAAACAATAAAAGCACTGTTGTATTTCCTGCTGCCTGACAATATTAACGCAATATAACAGCTCAGTTTCTGTTTTATTCTCTCTTTAGGACTCCTTGGGCAACCGCCCGCAACACATACTTCAGCCGTGGTAAGAACAAACARTCTCTGGACGCCATAGAGAAGGCTGCCTTTGTCTTAACCCTTGATGACACCGAGCAGCGTTACGATTCAACCAACCAAGTCAAGTCTCTGGACAGTTACGCCAAGTCCCTCCTCCATGGAAAGTGCTACGACAGGTGGGACAGAGCAGCTATTATRTAGATGTTTTATACATTTGTGACATAAATTTATTATGTTCTTTTGGTTTTGCATTGTTTTATTTTATCAGGTGGTTTGATAAGTCCTTTAACCTGATCATTTACAAAAATGGCACCATGGGACTGAACGCAGAACACTCCTGGGCAGATGCTCCAATTGTTGGCCACCTGTGGGAGGTAATCTCTGTGTTCTCTATTTATTAGAAAAGTAGAGTGTGGCTGAAAAGTAATTAAAAAATAGGATAAATGACACAAATTATCAGTGGTTTTAAGACTTTTCTGTACTGYAGCACGTACTTTCCATGGATCCTGTTAAACTGGGATACGCTGAGGACGGACACTGCCGTGGGAAGCCTCACCCCAACCTGCCTGGTCCTCAAAGACTGCAGTGGGACATTCCTGCTGAAGTAAGAYTGAATATGGTGTACAAGGATTTGATATTTCTGTGACGTTAAAGCAGCTTTTTTATTCTGATTATTAAACTTTAATGTATTTTTTTTTAATTAAAAAGCAATATAGCTATAGTACTACTTTAGTCAGTCCACTTTGTCAAATAAAACATACAAGTCTGTCATATATTCTAGTGCCAGGAGGTCATAGAGGGATCGTTGACAGTAGCCAGGGCTCTGGCAGATGATGTGGACTGTCACATCATCCCCTTTGATGACTTCGGAAAGGGGCTGATTAAGAAGTGTCGCACCAGTCCAGATGCCTTCATTCAGATCGCCCTGCAGCTGGCCCATTACAGAGTAAGTTCTTGTTTTTTAATATTTAAGTTACTAGCATAACCATATTTTAGCTATACAACTTTTCAGGATTTTATCCAGAGGTTTAGAAGGACAAAAACAAATTTAATTAAGTTGTACTCCCTCTTATTGCCACCAGAGGGCAGTCACAACCAGGAGTCCTAATAAAACTGTTATGAGTCAAACCAAAAYTAAATATTATGAGGATGAATTTTTGTTAGGTTAGCTTGTTGCAGTTACAGTTGTTCAAGTTTTAAAATGTATTAAAAAATGCATCGTTAATTTGGCAACAATTTTTTTTAACTAAAGCTGGTTTTCTATTATTTCTCTGCAGGACAAAGGGAAGTTCTGTCTGACATACGAAGCCTCCATGACCCGCTTGTTCCGTGAGGGTCGAACAGAAACGGTGCGCTCCTGCACCATGGAGGCTTGTGACTTTGTCCGTGCCATGGTCAGAAACGAGACCGTAAGTTTTTTTTAACAACACTCCCTCAACTCAGAAAAACGGCGCAAATGACCGAACCTTGTTTAGGGATGCAAATTTTGCCGTTTGTGTGTATTTGCAGAGAGAGGAGTGCCTCAGGTTGCTTAAAATAGCAGCAGAGAAACACCAAAACATGTACCGCCTGGCAATGACAGGACAAGGCATCGATCGCCACCTTTTCTGTCTCTATGTGGTCTCCAAATACCTGGGAGAGGACTCCCCATTCCTCAAGGAGGTAGGAGAAGTGGTTGAAGGCTATTTTTGGAAATGATGTTCTTAAAGTTTGTCAATGTTTTCCTTATAAGTCACTGCCGTTGAGAAGGTTGTTAGCATTGTCAGAACTCATCTAATGAATAATTATACTCTTGCTGAGAACAGTTTGAGCTTTCTTTAATCTGTGAAATAATAATGGATATTCTGTTCAGGTTCTGTCTGAGCCGTGGAGGCTGTCCACCAGCCAGACTCCTCTGCAGCAGGTGGAGCTGTTTGATCTGCTCAGACACCCAGAGTTGGTGTCCTCCGGAGGTGGATTTGGTCCAGTAAGTTTATATTAAAGAGGACATATCACAATTTTAATTATTCCTCAGGAGTCTCTAGGACAGGGGGGTCAAACTCATTTTCACCAAGGGCCAAATGAGTGTTATGGTGGCCCTCGAAGGGCCACTTGTAATAAACTTTGATGTTTCATGTTTAACTTTGACCAAACAATGTTTTAACATGTCCTCTTTTAAACACTGATAAGAACTAAGTGTATGATGTTTGATGGTGACTTTAAGCAGCTTATTTTCAGACATTAGTACTGTGCTATCCAACTAAATTGCTCAGTTACCTACTTAAAGCCAACAGCTCAGGGACAGGAATTTATTAAATTTGTTTTTATTTCATTTATTTTTATTACATTTATTTTGTTGCATTTAATCATAAATTTAAAGTTTACCATTGCTAAAAGAAACAAATTTCATGCTAAGTAAAAAAAAAAAATTTTTTTTCTTTTGGAGGGTGGCCCGCGGGCTTTGTATTTGACACATGTGCTCTAGGAAGTGCAGAAAAGTTTAATTTAGTCTCTCCTGGTGCTGCGTAAATATTTAGATATTTTGTTTGAGTCATATTTTTCAAACCATTTAGTTTTCTGTTTTTTCTGTGACGTTTTCTGGACTATTACATCACAGAATTTGTGGCAAAACTAAGGTCTGAAACAACTACGGATTTGTCGTCTTTTATGTTTACTAGACTTTAATAATTTAATATACATATATAT